CAAGCTCGATTTTCCCTCTTTTTAAATACAGGTAACCTGCAGATCCTCTCTCAGGAGGTGACGAAGCTTTCAGTACGACAAACCGAGCTGGAACGTAAGTAATGTGTCCTGCGTATACCACCACCTGTTTACGCATAACCGGTATAACCGCCCTTCGGCGTAACACACCAGCTTCTGTATCTATATATATATATACATAGCCGGTATAACCGCCCTTCGACGTAACACACCAGCTTCTGTATGATAGCCGGTATAACCGCCCTTCGGCCTAACACACCAGCTTCTGTATCTGTATATATATAGCCGGTATAACTACCCTTCGGCGTAACACACCAGCTTTTGTATCTGTGTAGCCGCTATAACTGCCCTTCGGCGTAACACACAAGCTTCGCAGGCACGCGGCGCGACGGCAGCTGGCTACATTACACCGAATGACTTGTTACACCTAACCCTTGAACATCGAACTCTAAACAGACTTCGGACGCCTGTCTGGACCACCCGGCCCACCCGGACCTCCCAGCCCACCCGGACCTCCCGGCCCATCCGGACCTCCTGGACAGGTAAACATGCAGGCTTAACAAACTAACTAACAAACAAACACCGCTTTACACCAACAGACAGTCTACCTCTGATTTGGACGAGAGAAAACTTGAATTATTTTCGTCAGTGGCTATACCTTGATCTGGAATATCTTTCTTGAGACAGATCTATTCCTAAAGTACTGCGTACGTTCATTCACATTATTACCTTCCTGAACTATGGTTCTCAATGCACACTCATGCAGCACTGACTACCAAAATAGTATGTGTTTTTAAGTATATAAAAGCAATACTAGTGATTATACATTTAGAGGGAGGACTTCTTATAATACTCCAGCAAACCGACATATGTCACCGCAGTCATCCCCCATTCCGCTTTCTACTTTCAACTGATCCACGAAAGGCTGTTCTGGACATTTCAGGTTGTTGCGTAATTTGTTTTACCTGTTCCTATCTTATCCTGTTCCTAACATCATATTTATATGTGTTACAATACCTTTATTGCAGTGTAGCTGTCCAGCCCCAGCAGCCACAGACTGTGCTGCCGCCGGACACACGACCAGTGGAGTCTACACACTTGGCTCACCCCTGTCCGGTGTAACGGTCTACTGTGACAATACTGCAGGTAGATATGGCACGTTTTAAGGCACATATTGAAATTGAGGCAGAAACATACACAGATGTGAATAAGATATACTGTCCTCCTGATATAGTTGTTCATAGTATTTTTAAAGAGTTTAACCTCTTAGTCAGTGCAATAGATAAATAATAATTACTGTTTTATTGCAAATTCATGCCCGAGGGCTAATTGCCGGAACAGAAGAGACATTTGGTAAAGAAACAGACTATTGATATCCCATGCAAAGCGAACACCTGTTGACACACACAAAAAAAAAAACTATTTTCATATCCTACAAATAACGTGTTTTGCCACAGGAGAGGGATGGACCGTGATCCAGCGTAGAATGGACGGGTCGGTTCGCTTTGACCGGACCTGGGAGGAGTACAAGCACGGGTTTGGGAACAAGAACGGGGAATACTGGCTTGGGAATGAGAACATCCACCGCCTGACTACTCAGAAGAACTACCGTCTACGAATCGACCTGAAGGATTGGGAAGGGAAGTCGACCTACGCGGAATACAACACGTTTAGGTCGGTGTTCTCTAGTGAGAATTCTAGGCAAAGCATCATTGTTAGGAAGTCACTTACACGGGTCATCAAGGCAGTCGACACTGGTAGTAGATGACCCACAAATAATACAGACGTTATACAAACATAAATAACGAAATCTAACTGCAAAGTACAAAATTATACATAATGTTAACATCCTTAATTGGTGGCAGAAGACAATACAATCTACACATAGTACGGACTGATAAATATGAAAAAAAAATCCTACCTAGCAGCAGATCGTGAATGAATGTGTGGACACTAGTTGGAATGGGTGGAAGGCTTTAAGTGTAGTTTTGTGGGTCTGTTTTGGCGTAAAAGCAGAATATGAGCATTTGGCTCAGAACCGACCGTCCTGGGTTCGAATTCTGCCAATCAGTCAACCTGAATGAATGAAAAGTTTATTCGTAAAAGCACATATATAGCAGCCATGGGCTGCAGTGCGTGTTTCAATACAATGACAGATTAATACTTGAAAACACCAGTCACATCAAATATATTTCAGACCTGACCTTGGCTTGGCATTACGTTATTTAGGGTGAGAGACTAAGCTAACATATAGTAACCCAAACCCTACCAGCCGCTAGACCAGATTGTTACACTGCAACGGTCAGACCGGAGTGCCATACTTGGCAAGCATATTCTAACACAGGGCGAACAAAACCGATGTACACTAACACAAGGTCATGTGAGTCCAGTCCTTGTTTACAGAGAGTTCTTAGCATGTACAGTCTACTACTACTCCTGCTAACAATCATAGGGACATGCTTCGACCACTTCAGATTGTTCTGTAGAATCACGCCAAGGATTCGTGCAGCGTTGACCACTTCCAGCTGGGTAGGTCCAATTGTAATCCCAGGTGTGCCCAACCTTGTGCCCTTGGAAAATGCACTTAAGACAACTTTCCTCACTTCGCTCAGGTGAAAATGATTATGCCAGAGTGATCATTATCTTGATCGTGGACATTAAATAAAAACCAAAACATTTCTTAATTTGTTCATAAAGTAATGAGTGATGTAATGCAATGTTCCCATCCAGGGTGGCCGGTGAGTCGGACCAGTACCGGCTGACCGTTTCCGGGTATTCAGGCGACGCGGGAGACTCCATGGCGGGCAGCTATAGCCTCAACGGGCAGAAGTTCTCCACTGTGGACAGGGACAATGATGCCAGCAGCCTCCACTGTTCTCAGGAGTTCGGACAGGGCGGCTGGTGGTACAGGGACTGCAGCCGTTCTCTCCTCAACGGCCGCTACCTTGGCAACTGTGGGAACTCCTGTCCATTAGCGCAAGGTGTGACGTGGTGGAACTGGAGAGGCCACGAATACTCCCTGAAGTCTGTGTCGATGAAAATCAGGCCACGATAATCGCATTTCCTCTACTAAATTTGATCACACCCAGTTATCCACAAAACCATCAATCCTATATGTCTGTAACGCTGACAAGTAACGCTCTCTATTGTAGCGGCTTTGTCTGTTACAAACTTACACCAGAATGATTTAATTTGAATGTAGCAGTGAGGCAGACGTCTTTGTTCAGATAACTGGAGAAGTGTTCAGATATAGTTGTTATGGAGCAAACTGTCCAATATGAGTTTTGGATACAAGTGACGATATCTGAAATATGTAGCAACTGAGTTTAAAAAAAGTACTTTTGCTTATTTTGATGCTGGGTGCTTCTGATTTAACATATCAAAATAATGCTCTTTATGTGGTGTCTCTTTTGTTGCAGAATTCCAGTAACATACTTGTACAACTGTAGTTCTGTAGTCATGGGTTCCTTAGTATCTGTATCTGTATAGCTGGTATAACCGCCTTTCGGCGTAACACACCAGCTTCGCAGGCACGCGGCGCGGCGGCAGCTGGCTACATTACACCGATCGACTTGTTACACCTAACCCTTGAACTTCTAGCTCTAGACATTGTTTAAAGCTAAAGTTAGTATACAAGACTGTACAAGTATGTAGCCTCAGTCAATATGTAAACTACATAGTCTTCCGTAGAATTCAGTAGTCCCTGAGAACTATTGTTACCATAAATAGCAAAGTTCTTTGATCATTTATTTTTCACGAGCCGACGTTCCTATGACCTTTAATGTATGCCACAATGTATGCACTGCATTCGGAAATGCATTGTTAACAGTAAAAACTAGCTTAAGTGCACTGTGAACCATGTAACACCTTTAGTGTACTATGTACCAAGTAACATCTAGCATCAGTGCACAGTAAACCAGTCAGAATTGCCCTGATGAAGATGACAGACGGTCATCGAAACGTCGGCTCGTGAAAAATGAATGGTTGTGATGAAAGAACTTTGCTATTCATTCGTTTACCAACCTGATGAAATTATTTAGGGGTTTTGTTACCATAGTTACCCAGAAGAAGAAGTTGCTTATGTTTGTATTTTATACAATAGCTGAGTGATAATATCATTTATTTCCTTCTGAGCCGAATATTTTTCTTCCAGAAAGGAAATGTGTTTGAGAAAAGTTTAGTAATGAATATTTACTGAAAGGTGATTTTCTGTAAGGCAGTTCAATAACAGTAATATTGTAGTCAAGGGCAAATTGACAAGGAATAACATCATGTTGGAAGAATAATTTTTAATCATTATTTTAAAACTTGCCTCTTATCTTGTCCAATGTTTGGCAGTTTTGTGTCACATTGTAGTGCTGTTGTACACGTACGTGAACAACAGAGAGACTAGAACTATAATCATGGAACACAATTAGGTGTACAAACCATTAGTGATGAGGCCTAGGGGGAAAATGTCATGTTTCCATTTCAAGTCCTAAAACACTTAGGGTCGGTTGGTAGGGATCCTCCTTTTTCATTTTAGATTCTGGCTAAACTTAAACTAACAAAGTCAAGCTAAAAAATACATCATGATCAGGGCTGTCTCCAGTTCCTTTCCACCCCATATATATTCGGTAAAAATGGTTTGGAAAATGCGTGAAATAGCATTTTAGACGATTTGAAATGCAGAATTTTATGTCCCTGTCAGCAGTCAACCCAAAAACCGCTAGCGTTGGTCTGGAACCCGGAAACACTACATTTTTTCCAAGGTCCCGGATTGCATACAGTAAACTGCTATAAACATATAATGTAATGCCTTCTATATGAAGGACGTAAGACTTTGGTGATGGGTGAAAATAAATTCTGCACTGCTGGTGTTTCAATCCTCTCACGAATGTGTTTTTTTTTTGTACATTTGTACACTGTGACAACACCTACAGTAACTCAAGTTCTTGGTTTTTTGAACCTGCATGATTTTTTTTTCTGATGTGAAAAAGGGGCATGCGGAGTGAGTGAGTGACAGTGAGTGAGTGAGAGTGATTGAGTGAGGGTGAGTGAGTGAGTGAGTAAGTGAGAGTGAGTGTGAGTGAGTGAGTGAGTGAGTGTGAGTGAGTGTGAGTGAGTGAGAGTGAGTGTGTGTGTGTGAGTGAGTGAGTGAGTGAGTGAGTGAGTGAGTGAGTGAGTGAGTGAGTGAGTGAGTGAGAGATCTGAAAAAGAAATAGATGTACAGGATGTCTTTCAGCATATGAGCATGAGTCACTGATATAATTAATGCCTAAGATCGTTGGAAGAAAGTCCATGATTTCCGGGCTGTTACATTTTTCACTTTATTAATGAAGTTCCTTCTTTTTGTTTTCATTGTTCTCGCCCACTCCATTAATTTCGTACAAACGAGAACCAAGAGATTAAATTGGCATGGCCTGAACATACCACATACAAGAGACAGTTGGCAGAATGTATTGTGCCTGTGCAAAACCCAGATTTTGATTTTTTTTTTACTTTTCGTTGAAATTTGCCCATTACTGACAATATCTTATCGAAAAGTATAGACAGGATGTCATCCCTGCTTTGCACAATACATTACAGGTTTGTCAAAGGAGCAGCACGTTTTGAAATACTTCATACAACATGTATGCAACAACCCACAGACATAATTTCTGACTTTAAAACTGGAAAGTTCTGGGAATTAAAGAGGGATTAAAAACCTGGTGAAAATTCTGCAATATGTCAGGGAGTCCTTATGTAGTGTCTGTAAGCCCTTAAGTTGTTTTGTGAGTCTTAGATGTCGGCATCCAGAATAACCACCGGGTCTTGTCTCTCCTGAGAAGCTGCACAATGTCTTTAAGGATGATCCTCAGTCTTCAAGGTCAAGCTCCTCGTCAAGGTCGAGATCGGCCATGTCTTGGAACAGTGACTCGTCGACCTCCACGCTCTCATCACCTGCACCAAGAGTAATGTCTGTGGGAACCGGTACAGAAGGGGGAGGGGGGCGGTAAGGGGGGGCGGTAAGGGGGGCGGTAAGGGGGAGGCGGTAAGGGGGAGGGGTAGTAAGGGTGAGGGAGAGACAGTGTTAGCACACATGTATGTTATAAACATACAACACAAACGCAGTTATGGATGTGTTAAACATTCAACAATGTGTTAAGCATGGTTTTTAGTCAACATGGTTTTATTAAACAGCCTGCATGAAAAAGATGTAGCGAACAGTTTTTAGCTTCTAAATCTAACGTGCAAGAATTTTCTTACTGTTTAAGTAAGTAACACATCCATGAACATTTAGAATTGGTTGTTAGCATGTAACATACACAACATACATGTTTCACTACATGTAAGTGTTATCATATTATACTAATAGTACTACACAACTAATTTCACATCAAGGCTAGAAATATGCTCTAGTACAAACCACACAAAAACAAACAAAATTTATTCACATGCACTCAGATAAACCAATTTGGTTCTGAACAAAATCACCCAAATAGTGACCCATGTTCGGGCCGGCCATCTTACCTTCATTGTCCAGAAATCTTGCGTCTGAGTCGTTCAGTGATGTGTCCCGTTCGAATAGCTGTTTTCCTGGTTAGAAAAACATGGTTGTTTAGATTTATAAATTATACAGATCATGTGTTCTTTTGAATCTGACAATATCACCCACTCCATTCACCTTTCACACAAATTTGACAGCACAAGAAACTGAAAATGTTAGGTCATGAATAGTTAATTTACAATTAAAAAAAAGTAAGTATGTTTGAATTGGAATCTGTAACTTACCTGTTAACTTTTTACTGTTGTCTTCTTCTTTTTTAGATTTCTTCTTTTCCGCTATTTCCTGGTCAAACCGGTCTTTCCATGCCAGAAAGGTTTCTATAGTGACTCTGGTGCCCTCAAATCTTTTCTGCAACAAGACAAATGTAACAACAAAAAAGTTACTCAACCAACTGGATAATATGATTTTGGAAATGGCCAGACATATTAGGTAGCATCCACCTAGTCACCAGTGTCACTGCTGAAAGCTAGTGGATGCTACCTGAAACGTCTAACCATTTCCAAAATCATATCCAGCTGCACGAGTAACTGTATTTTTGGGCGTATCTTATTAACTAGAAGACAAAAGCAATTTTATGTGATACAAAATGAACTAGACAGGCAACAATTGCAACACAAATGTATGATGAAATGAAGGATTTAATGCATTTAATGTTTACCTTCATATAGTCTACCCTAACAAAATACTGCTGTGATTTTTCTTACTCAAAAACATTCATGTACATGTACATGGTGACCATCCCCTCCGTTGCCACATAATGTAATTCAACACTACTGGGTGTCTGCTACAGCACCAGCTTTCAGTTTCCCATTTTCGGCAGAGAAGAGTCAGAGTTTCTATATATACCTTTTCTTTTTCTTCCTCTTCTCTCTGTTTTCTTTCCCTCTCTTCTTCCGCCTGTTTCTTCTTCTCCTCGACCAGTTCACTCAGTCTCTCTTGCACAGCTGACACCAGAGTGAACACCATCACCATGCCGAGGTTCTCCTCAGCCTGGGGACATTACACAGCCTGGGTTAGCTGCTGTGTCTACCTGTTGTTGTGTTTACCTGTTGTTGTGTTTACCTGTTGTTGTGTTTACCTGTTGTGTTTACCTGTTGTCGTGTTTACCTGTTGTGTTTACCTGTTGTTGTTTACCTGTTGTTTACCTGTTGTTGTGTTAACCTGTTGTTGTGTTTACCTGTTGTCGTGTTTACCTGTTGTCGTGTTTACCTGTTGTTTACCTGTTGTTTACCTGTTGTGTTTACCTGTTGTTGTGTTTACCTGTTGTTGTTTACCTGTTGTTTACCTGTTGTTGTGTTAACCTGTTGTGTTTGTTTACCTGTTGTGTTTACCTGTTGTTGTATTTATCTGTTGTTGTGTTTACCTGTTGTTGTGTTTACCTGTTGTCATGGTTACCTGTTGTTGCAGCAGGTCCTGTATGGAGCTGACGTCCTGCTCGGTGAGGTTCTGTGGCGACAATACCTCCATCTCAGGGGGGGCGTCGGGGTAGGTCGGCACGTAGGTGAACTGCAGGTCAACCCCCAGCGGGGCTCCTTCTGGGGGGGGCAAACTTCAAGGTTACTCATAACCCCCAGGGGGCCCCTTCTGGGGGGACAAACTTCAAGGTTACTCATAACCCCCAGGGGGCCCCTTCTGGGGGAACAAACTTCAAGGTTACTCATAACCCCCAGGGGGCCCCTTCTGGGGGGACAAACTTCAAGGTTACTCATAACCCCCAAGGGGCCCCTTCTGGGGGAGGGAACAAACTTCAAGGTTACTCATAACCCCCAGGTGGCCCCTTCTGGCGATAACAGGAACATTCTGATGATACATATATACGTATGTATCGAATGAGACTGCCACCAAGTGACAAATTATTGAGCAAGTAAGACAGGACTAAGTCCCCAAACACTGGACACTCCATTTAACGTCCTATCGGAGGGACGTCCCTAACCGAAGCAAGGTACTCATTTTCACCTGAGCGAAGTGAGGAAAGTCGTGTAAAGTGCCTTTCACAAGGGCACAAGATCGGTGACATGGGCGGGATTCGAACCCACGACCAGTGTGAGCCGAACGTGCTACCGACTGCGCCACACGACCCCAACAATAGTATTGTATCTAGAGCTGTGTACCGGTACGCAGTACCGATACTGTACCGGAAAAATTGATTAGGTACAGGTCCAAAATACCTAATCCCTCAGTACCGGTACTGTACCTAAACAATTTCACACCAATTTTATGCCTATTTGTGACCTCAAATGTGTAAATAGCTGGTTAACAATGGGTCCCTGTGTAAGGACAGTGTGTTCATGAAACAAAACATCTTTGCCTATATTTTATCTGAGCATTCGCCATAAA